GTGACATTTAAATGTTTTTCCACAGCCAACCTACAGCTAACTGTCGGATTATATTCGTCTCTGTACTTATGTTCAAATATCTCAAAATCGGTGGGATTTAGGTATAGGGAATGCTTATACCAATGGAAAGAGAATTAACAGGTGCATCTACTGGCATTATAAAACACAGGGTGTTCTATTTAAAATAAGCGAGTTATTAAACTTTCAATTTGACACAATTGGTCCGTGTTTTTTAGACGCCCTGTGTAACATGCACCAACTTTCGAATATTCCAGATATTTGGACACGTTTTGGTATTGACCATCTAAAATTTCAGCTTCCTATCTTAAAAATTGGAGGAGATAGAACCGATTAAGTGTAGGTATGTTTTTTTCAAAAATTTTGAAAAAGTCAAAATATTTAAAAAACTATTGAGTTTAAGGATAAAGTAAGGTTATGAAACTTACCTTAAAATTCGATGTAGAATCCAGAAATTAAATAAAAAATAGTACATTCCATTCGAAATAAGCGAGTTGACGTCTACTTCCGGTAGAACCGGAAGTTCCACGGCGACGCCAATATTTTCAATCGATAGAACATTAGGAGAAACCGCCGTACATAAATTTTCAGAATTCCAGTACGCGTAAACTTTAGCAAATGGTAGATCAGGTTTTAAGCAAAATTTTATAGAAATACACATCGTAGAATGTTTCGTTTTCTCGAGAGAGAGAGAGAGAGAGAGAGAGAGAGAGAGTGTGTATATTAAAAAAGGTAAGTATCACATGTTTTCAAATATCACCAATAATTAATCTGTCACATAGGCTTAAGATGTATTTAGTACCTCCTGCAACATCACAATTTCAAGATTTCTATTAAATAAGAAATTAAATGAACATAACCTTAAAATGTTCGTTTAACTTCGAATTTTTGGTGTTCTAAATATCATTTTTTTTTTTCAACTCGACAGACAAAGATTAATTTGTAGAAAAGCACAAAAATACTTGTAAACACTGCTAAAAGCAAGCATAAAAACAAGAAAAATTACGAACGCCTCTGGATTGACATTTCATCTGCATTGGTAACTTCTAAAACGCCAACTTAAAAATTCAAATTTACAGAGCGCCAAATCTGGTCACGTGGGGCTCGGGCATTTATGAAGGCACTGTATACTATTATTGATATCGCATTTAATTCTCCACTCGACATCTACCTTTAAATAATTTTCCATAATATCAGCCATCTATTTCTACAATTCACCTAAAATCTGAAGGCAAAACTCCTGTGAATGTTCAATGAATTTTGCACACGACCTTGGTAGATACCGTATTTTAACGACACACGTTTTTCCATAAACAAAATTTATTACTTTTGTAGTTGTCGTCTTATTCAAAAGATGTTTGCATTGAATTGAGTGGGACAACCGGCGCGCAATGTAGTCCAGTGTTTGATTTGGCGAGGAAGTGACAATATGGATTACGTTTGGATAATTTTACATATTTTGTGGAGTTTGTCGGCAAGTTTTGGAGGTATAGGAGTGTTGTTTGATCACAAAATATATTTTAAATAGATGGAACAGTTGATGTTGTAGTAATTTATGTAGTCTAATATAGCATTCGCGTCGTCTACAGGGTGGTCTCGTGCAAGATATAGATAATTTATAATGTGATTTAATTTGTACGTTATAACTATTAGAAATTATAGACCTAGTTAAACGTATTTGATAATAAATATTTAAATTTTCATAGTTTTTAACATATCTTAGCAAACTATACATATGTTAGATAAAAATCGTCTTGTTAAAACATCTTAATTCGAATTTGTTTCACACTATACTAGTATCTTTTTAGATGCAGTTTCGATAGCAAACCAAAATTATGAATCTACTTCAAATAAAACTCCTGGACAACTTAGTAAAAGAAGTGAGTATTTGTCGCATATCAGAAACTGATCAATATTTGATGGACCGTATGGCAATTTTCAGAATGCTTGGAATACTATCCTAAACCAAAGTATCCGATACTAGGCATCGCTGGGGGCAATGAATCTCTTCCTAAAGAATTTCCTCACATGGTAAGGGCAATATACAATACAAAATAACTCAATTAGCAAGTAATTCAAAACCAAATGAGGAAAAATAAGAGAAAGACACACAAATTTGTTTTAATCTATATTTTTTTGGCGCTTTCACAATTCTAAGCATTTTTTAGGCAGCTATAGGATATGGAGACGAAGACGATATTCAGTGGCAGTGTGGAGGTTCCCTAATTAGTAAGAAATTTGTTTTAACTGCAGCTCATTGTCTTGACAATACAGCGTAAGTAAATCCTCATTAGAAAGGGGGTAACTTTAAGTGGGGTGTAGTTATTTAGGAGTAAAAGTAACTGTTCACTGGAATTGTTATTTTTTTTATTGACGTTGATCTAGACTAAAAATTTCAATTGTTATGACAGAATTAAAAAAATATATATATGATACGTGTTTGTAAAGCTTTCGTATAAGCCCGATGCAAAAATACACCCTGATTTTCCTAGAAACGAAGCAGAATAACGCTGTCCAAAAATCATGTACCTAAAAATACTTAATTTTTCAGCTGGTTCAAATAGTTTTGAGATATTTTAAAAGCTAATTCAACACTCAATTTAGAAATAGTTGGAAAAGATGCAAAATAGATTTGTGGACACGTTTTCCTTTATAATTTAAAAATGCGAATTACTTATTTCATACAGCACATAATCATTTAGGGACCCCCCCAAATACGTCCGATTGGGAGACTTGGACCTATCAACCGAAGAAGACGACGCCTCTCCCCAAAACTTCGACGTTCTAAGAACCATCCTACATCCCTCTTATAACCCACCCGCCAAATACCACGACATCGCTTTGCTGGAATTGAACCGTGAGGTGAATTTTAACGAATACGCATCCCCGGCTTGCCTTACTACAGAAATAGAACTAAACCAAACTAGTTTGATAGCTACCGGATGGGGAAAAACCGGCTTCACCGACAGCAGCAGCAATTTCCTGTTAAAAGTCGATCTTGATCCTGTTCCTCATCAACAGTGTATCGAGAAGTATGGGAAACAGTCCAAAAAGGATTTGCCGAATGGAATCGTACATGATTTCCAGATATGCGCGGGAACAGTAAAGGACAAAGACACGTGTCAGGTAAACACAGATCATAAACAAAAGAAGGTTGCCTGCCCCATAAAGCAGACTATGTTATTTCTACATATTTTTTGTAAATAGTTAATTTATTTGTATATCCTGAAAAATCCGTTAGTAGATTCCGGGGTCCTAGATCCATTATATGGTAAACCACTCGACTAAAATAATTAATAAAACTAGTAATGTATTTTTTTGCTGGATTCCAAAATCTTCTCAATTTCATAGGGTTATGGGGTTATTGAACTCATGAGGTTATAGCACTGGCTTCTGATAAAGTGTTAAAGGGTAAAAATAAGGTTATCGAGTTCTCCATTATCAGGCTTACGTTATGCAGGTCTGTAGTCATAGGGTTATGATGTTAGGGGGGGGTTCAGGTTAGGGATTTTCAGGGTTATGGAGTCTGTGATATTATTCGTTTTTTGACTAAATCACTGAAGATAATATTTAACCATATTTTTTTTATTTTAGGGTGATTCTGGAGGTCCACTGCAATTTAAAAACGAGGACAGATCTTTCCGGGTGAACGTCCACAATGTAATCGGAGTTACTTCGTTTGGAAAAGCTTGTGCGTTGTCTGGAGCTCCCGGAATCTACACGAGGATCTCCAATTATATTCCGTGGATAGAAGGCATTGCTTGGGAGAATGAAAATTAACTTATTTGCAAGGCAAAGCGGTTGAAATAACAAAAAAAAAAACTGAGAAAAAATCTGCTCCATACCTGTAGATCTATGTTACAATACGTACAAGTATGTACATACAGGGTATCCTAAAAAGATACGAACCTCCCGATAACTTTTCAACATTGAGTCCCATCAAAAAAAAGTTTCAAATAAACATTGTGGATATCGAGAAGCCAATATGCTACTGATTTTAGATTTTACGTTGATCTAAACTTTCAAGGTCAAATCAAAGTCAACTTGGAAATATTAAACGGAAACCCCAAGTAATCTATAGAGCGTCAAAATTTATGTCCGACTATGATGTCAGATTGAGGTCAAACTGATCTTTTTCTGAATGTCTCAATAAAAATGTTTCAAGCTAAATTTGTGATTTTGAATGGCACATTATATGATGACCTTAGATTTGACATATTGGATATCAGCCTCCAAAACTGATTTTCATCAGATTTTAATTATTATTAACCTAATAATGTGTTAAATTTCAAAACTGTTGTCAAGATTACACTGACATTTTCAAAAGAATATGTCTATTAAATTCTATGATCTACTTTTATATCCATTATTTAAAAAAATGAGTTTAACCTTCAAATAACCTGCGAGACATCCTGGAAATATTTTTAATTCCAGTTTCATTTAATTTTCAAGTTGACTTTGAAATTTAAGGTCAAAGTGAAATTCAAGGTTAGCATTATTATTGGTTTACAAATTTATTGGAAACATTTTTAGTTTTCGGGAGTTCGGATCTTTCTGGGTCACCCTATATACCAAAGCATATGTTGTATTTATATTTCCTTATCCTTATAAATAAAGACAACTATGTCCCTTTTTAAAAGATATAATAGCTAATTTAACACCTTTATTTACAAAAAATGCGCATTCAAATTTTCTGTTAATGATATTGAATTAATACACTGTAATAGATACATTTGTATCCATTTAGTCTATTAGTAGAAAAACTACATATTATAATAACTACGCTGACTATTTCAAAGTACATATGTAACATAAGATTTTTTAAATTAATTTTCAAATAATGTGGCCAACTAAGAACGAAAACAATGTTCTAATTTTTTTGGGACATACCATGTTAATACATTTTTTATATATTTATAGTGGCCTTTTTGCTGAACTAGCTAAGATGTTGAAATTAACAAATTGAAGAAAAAATAGCCAGTTAAAAACCCAGCTAATCATAGCCTGATAAATAGTAGAGCCTGCATAAAAATTATTATTTTTATAATTTTAGGACAACATTTTCACCAATTCTTTGTCCAATTTTACTAATGTAATCACCAATTCACCAATTGGCTAAGATTTCATCTTCAGATGTTTGCAGTTCTTTTTGAATTATTAATCTAACAATTAAACTTGTAAAAGTTTAAATTAATTTAATTTTTCTCTTAATACACAAAACGTTGTTATGATTATTACAGAGTTTGTGTTGTATTATATCTATTTGTAATAAAATTGTAGTTACGAAGATTTTTATATCTCTATTATCGTTTTGTTTCCTTTTGATGAAGTTGAAGATTACGTGCAGTAATAGCGTTAACAAAAGATATATCCGACTATTAAGCCTATGTTTTTAGTGCATAGGTATTTCTTAAATGCGTATAGTTGAATGAGCCACTGTTACAAGAGAATATGGAATTGCTTGAGCTCATCTTTTATCAATGCCTAAACACAGCATCGAGAAGCCATATGTAGACGAGGATTAAATTTATGATTCGCGAACATGAAGCTGCTTTGGTTCAGAGTTGCTTGAAGCCAGTAATTTGCACTAAAATCTCTGCCGTCGACCTCGATAAATAAATTACACACGTTTCTGTAAATACAATATTTACCTGCTTTTGGTCTCTTTACTTATTTTGTCTGGAAGACTTAAGGCAACCGAAAATCGTTCAGACACCGAGTGCAGATATATTTGGTGCAGTGGAGTGTTGTTTGAGTGTAGAACATGGAACATATTTGGACGGTTTTGCTCTTTGTATTGAATATTTCATTACAATTTGCAGGTACAGTTTGTTTATTCACAAATAATATATGGGTACATCAAATGGTGTTGGTTATAAACTTATCTTTCTTCTTTTTAGGTTTGAAGGCATGCTGAAGTATGCTACCCATTAAAAATACTTTATGATACTGGATTTTGTACAGATTTTTAAGTAAACGTGGCAAATTAAAGTTTTGCAGAACGCCCTGTATGTTATGTCATACGTGGATAAAACACTCTTTCAGAATTACGGTGATATACGCATATAAAACGTAATGTGAAATACAATGCAAGATACACTTAAAAATTAAAAAGTTAACCCTTAACCCTACATAATTCTTTTTTACAGATGCAAAATCAGTATGTCAGAATTCTACATTTGCACCAAAAGGAAATCCTGGCGAATTTAGTAAAAAAGTAGGTATTTATCAGGTATACCTTAGTGCAGTACATCATTATTATGGGCAAACAATATCTACAATGAAAATATAAGTTTTCGTCAGGGAAAACGTTGTGCCATTTGCAAGAAAAATTTTTTCTCACATTTTCCCATACTTTGTAAATATGCAATTTATAGAACTAATGAAATTGTTTGTTATTAAATTTCCTACAAGATTGTTTTGCTACACGCGCATGTTATATTTTTGTTGCTAGATAACCAAAACAGTTCTAGAAAGTGATGAAAATCTAAGTAATTTTGAAGCGTTCAACTGACAAGTAAGAATTTGTTCAATTTTACTGTACATGTGGATGTAGGTACTTTAAAATATTATAAAATTAATGTTCTGTCATGAGAAATGTCATAATTTTTTTGCATCAATGTTGGTGTTTTTTAATTTGACAAAATTAGTTTGCGAAAACATCAACGCCGACTGCGAACGTCATTTTTGCGTATTTTCACTTTTCAATTTTTCCTGCAAATAGCACTTTTTTCCTTCAGGCTAACTTATGTTTTCGAGCGATTTTTGCTAATATCTAATCCACTCAAAGCAATAACCGCATCTCGAAGGTTTTGAGCCTAATTCTCCTGGACTATATATGTACAAATGAAGGTGCAGTAATATTATGTATAGTAGATATATCAGTCCCATATTATTTCGTTACATATTAAAATGTTTCCAGAATGTTTAGAATACTACCCCACACCTGATGTACCTTTGACGATAGCAGGTGGCAATGAATCACTTCCCAAGGAATTTCCACACATTGTAAGATAATATGTTCCATTTTCCGTGAAAACTATCGTACTTGACTTGAATTTGAAAGGGAATATCTTCGTTATGAGAAGGAAACTATCAGAAGAATTTCAGAATAATTATGTCGTATGAATATTAATAGTGTGTATATCAAGAATATGTTAAATTATTAAGAATTTCAAAAGAATTTTGTTTTGAATTGGATTTTGTTTACTTGAAAACATCCTTATGGAATTACACGGAAACCAACGTCACGTGTTGTATCATTAATATGTTCTTCAAACTTTTCCAAATACATCTTAGCGTTACACAGTGATCAATGATTTATTAGCATATTTATTACTTAATTTGAAGAAAAATATTGGCTAATTAAATAAAATATTTATTACTTTGCAGGCAGCTATTGGTTATGAAAAAAAGAATCAAGTACTATGGCTATGCGGAGGTTTTTTAATTAGTAGGAAGTTTGTCCTAACAGCAGCACACTGTGTAACTCAGTAACTATTCTTGAGTTCTGATATTAGAATTGCTACTCCTTTAACTTTGTCATTTTAAAGTACTGTATACGGGGTGTCCCGCATAAGAACCGACACAGGGGGTGTTCAAAATATTGTAAATTAACCAAACTTACCTATATACAAAGTTGCACCTCTGAGGAGTTATTAACCCCCAAAGTGGAGCCCTAAATTTTGAAAAAAAATAATATTTCTGCAACACTTTACCGTAGAAGAACCAAATTTGGTACATGATTTAGGTTTATTACTGGTCTTCTTTGACTATGATTTAAAGTTAATTGAAGCACTACAAGGTGTTCATTGGGGATGACTCATCCTTAAAATTGCAACGAACTTTTTTTTCATTTACCGAATTGAAAAATAGTAATATTAATTCACAGCAGAATTTAATTTTAAATTTTTTTTACATGTGTTAAATTTTAAAAAAACTATGGTTTTCAAGAAACACCGTATTCGCTTCATCAAGAAATTGGACAAGTGTAATGCACCAAATCAGCTGTCAAATAACTTCATGAATTTATTCATCAAGTTCTTGACGAATTAGAGCATGTTCTAATTTTCGTGAATTTCTTCGGAAGTACCAACCCAACAGATTTCCAGCCTCAGATAAGTAATGAGGTTATGTTATTGGAATATGTAAATAATTGTGTGGCGTCGTACTAGTTTTGCATTGTTTTTACTGATTTGTTACTTACAAACACTAATATTTTATATAATATGTATCAGAACGGTATCGCTGTTGTATCACTATAATTATGAGTGGAAAGGTGACATTTTTGAAATTTATTTGCTTCTTTGATTCGTTGGTAGAACTGATTCATGCGTCAAAAAACTTGACAAAGTCTGTAGCAGTGTAAAACCACATTGTTTACTAATAAATTCGTGAATTAATTCATGAAGAACTTCGTCAATTTATTCATAAATAAATTGTCACTGTAAAACAGCTATTAGAAGATTTTAAATAATAAGATTTTAGTGAAAAAAAAAATCAGTAGCGTAGAAATTTTGAAAACGAAAATAAAATATGTAGAAATCATTTTTGAAAGTAAGTCACAACAGAAACTTTTGATTCTAGCGACACTCCCAAATACGTCCGTCTGGGCGACTTGGACCTATCTACGGAAGAAGACGACGTGCAGCCTCAGAATTTTACCATCGCGAGGACCATCCCACACCCCTGCTTCAAACCACCAGTCATGTATCACGACATCGCTTTGCTAGAGCTGGACAGAAAAGCCAACTTCACCCGCTTGCTTGAATACAGAAAAGGAAATCAAGGACACCGAACTTAAAGCTACTGGATGGGGCAAGGTTGAGTTTATCGGATATGAAAGCAGTATCATGCTGCAAGTCAATTTAAGCCACGTTCCTCACGACGAGTGTGTGAAGGCTTTCGGGAAGCATCCTCGAAATGAATTGCCAGGTGGTATCGTTGAAGATTTTCAGATTTGCGCAGAAAATGTAATTGATGAAGATACTTGCCAGGTATCTATGGGTTTTCATTAGTAACACCGTGATACTCATTCTGATGTCAATAGTCGATAAAACAAACTCTTAGTCAAAATTTGGCTCACAATATTTAATATTGTCCATTTTGGTTAATAGTTGTCCATTTAGTTTAGTTTCAGGCACACAAAAATGTCCAAACCCAAAGATCGACATTTTATAAAAATTTCGACAGATGCAAGCGTTTCGAAAAATCCTTATATCTTCCTTCGTCCTGGAGCACACAAAGAACATAAGCTACACTATCTACTACCATCAAAATCACCTGAAGAAAATTATACCAAGCGTCTCATTTTTTATGTTACATTTTGAAAACTTAAAGCCAACAAAACTATTTAAATCCAAATGGAACACCCTGTATTTTTTTGCACCATGTTATAGAAAATCAAATTGTCTTTTCACCGATGTAGGCATTGTAGGGTTTACAGTTTCAATTTTCTCAGATATTTGCGGCTTTCTTCCATTCTCAAGAATATTACATTAAAAACATAATGAAATGTGCTTTGAAAGACAAACATTGTTATTTTCATTCAGTATTCGAAAATACTGATTATTTACAATCTTTAAAAAATAACACACACGTCTGCTCAAGAATTTTTAGATGGACTTATTGGTACATAAAATTTAGCCTAACTATCCAAATGTTGAATTTTGTAATGTAAAATTTATAATCTATAAATCACTACCTACATATTATAAAATAAAGTCCTCCGCCGCGTCTGTCTGTCTGTTCGCGATAAACTCAAAAACTACTGCACCGATTTTCATGCTGTTTTCACCAATGGATAGAGTAGTTCTCGAGGAAGGTTTTAGTATATAATTTGTTAAGTTTTTGTATACATTAACGATATTTGTTGGAGTTGCCGGAATAAGCCGTCTGGGAGTTTTCAACGATAACGCTGCCTAAACCCTTTGAGATATAACAAAATAATATATGGTGGAATTGTGTCTCTTATATAGGTCTACAGAAAAGTCCGCGATGGCATATGTCTATATGTTAAAGATAACATACTACCTATATCCATTTTAATACTTTAAAAAATGGGCAATTATAAAGCTATAATTGGAAAGCTATTTACACAAATACGGTATTAATCCTTATCATTTTAAATAAGTTAGAGGCTTTAAGCATTTCATGCACATTATTTTACTCTTTTACACCATAAATTAAATGAATATCTTAGGAGTAATCGCAAAAAAATTACGGACGCGAGAATAAAATTCAAGCGCCTAGCTTCGCTTGATGCGATCGCCGACCCCCCCCCGCATCGTCTTGCCTACTGTTTAGCTAATAAGCCGAACGATAACGCGCGCGTGATCCTTTAATAAACTGACTTGGAGCGAATGGAGGTGAAGATTGACGACTGTGTTTTCTTTCTGGGTGTTGTTGGAAAGTTATAATTGCGTTCGATATTTTAAGGTCACATTTTTGTTTTGTATTTGTTGTCTTTAGATAGTCGGAACATACATAGATACTTGCAAACATACTTTTATTTCATTGAGTTTTAATAATTTGTTTGTTTTTTTCTTATTGTGAATCATCTAAAACTTCATAGTCGCATTTTTGTTTCGTGTTTGTTTTCTTTAGGTAGTTAGATACCTAACTTCTTACTTATTAATTAAAATTGATAGTCCTGAACATAGGTACTTTAATTTAATTCGTTTTGTTTTCACATTGTTGGTAGTTACCTATATTGTTTTAAATTTAAAGGATTTGCATTTTTAGTTTTGAGTTTGTTTGTTGTCTTTAGGTATGTAAATATATCGTAAATTATTTTAAAATTAATATTAGGGTCGCATTAGATGAAAGATGATTGATTTTTTGTTTGTTACGATTTAACTCAAAAACTACTCAACTAATTTTACCGAAAGCTACATCTCCTCGGAGTAACATAGGCTATTTTATATTTGCCCGTGCGAAGCCGGGGCGGGTTGCTAGTTAATAATAAAATTTATCTGTTTTTAACAACACGAATGGTAACTTCCTTGCATGAAAAAAAAACTGATTTAGTACAACTGTTGACAAAAGTTCCAAAAGTTTCCAACTTACAATGTGTCTGGTTAATACGTAAAATACGCAAATTATGACTTTTCAAAGCCCTACCCATAAAAAATAGTATCAACTGATTCCGCCAGCCTATTTGTATTTAAGGGGGTGTTAACACGAAAAATCAAACACACTATAGAAAGTTTAAAGGGGTTTAAACGTTGTAATTCGTGACACCCTGTTTATAAAGAAATACAAGCAGTTTAAGTCAGAGAATTTTTATTATTCGTTGAGAATTTTTTACTTTTTATGATATTACAATGAAATTTTCTATAAACAGTTTCTGGGGTAGCCAAATAAAAACACATTTTTAACTTATAACAATCAGCTACCTTAAAAACTGTAATACTGCATAAAAAATAAACAAAAAAAAATTTAAGAGGCCCTCGATTTTTAAGTAATCAACATTGTTTTAAAGTAACTTGATCAAAGTTGTATACCCTTGAAGTGTGTTCTTCCGTTTCCGGGTACCCTGTATATATTTTTGAGTTTCAGGGCGAATCGGGAGGTCCATTACAAGTTAAAAACGAAGAAAGATCTTATTCCGTTAACGTCAGTAATGTTTTCGGAATTACATCATATGGAAAACCATGTGCTTTATCAGGAGCCCCTGCTATCTACACTAGAATCTCCAACTATATTTCCGGGATAGAGAGAATTGCTTGGAAAAACGAAAACCAAAAAGTGATTTTTTACGTCTTTGATAACAAAGTTTTCAATGTAATATTTATATTCTTCATATAAAATACAACATCATTATTTTGCCTACTTATTTTTTTTCATATCAAGGAAATTAAATAAAAAATAACAATCTAATCGTAAATTCCAATATCCATACCTACATTTTATTATATTTACAACCCTATATAGCCATACTATAACATTTGATTATTTACTTTTATTTTAAAAGTCGAGTTACATTAACCGTATGCTCGTCATTATTGTTGTTCTTTTTGTAAACGTGTATATTCAAGGATGGTCACCTCGTCGTCGGTCACCTGAAATTACCGTGTGGTCAGTTAAAGCACTCGTAGTGAACCAACAGACCAACAGTGTCGAATTTGTTAGTATTTACCAAGAAAACATGTACTGTTATTATGTTTTGATAGTTTCACTATGTCTCTTTGACTCGCCTTTTGTCATTGCAGGTAAGCACGTCAACTTTCATTCATTAGTTTACAATCGATTGGTCAATTTTAAAACTATTATTATTATTAAACTAAGGAAATGAGCAGAGAGTAAAGCATGTTATGTTAATTTAGAAACTACATAAATTAATTATTATAATACACAACGCTATAAACAAAGTTGAAACTAAAAAGAATAACCAATTCTATTTTTAAAGATATAATATATATTTACACTTTGGTAGCTAATTCCATTGGTTAAACACTTTAATAGAATAAAAGATATGTACATATTACCAAACACTTGAAATTTTCCTTACAGAGTTTGACCCTCGGTAATAGCTTACATATGAAAATCATATAACCGCTAATTCTATGTTCAGCCAATAATAAATTAGCTCATATAGATTTGATCCCTCAAAGCACACACTGAAGGATCTGCAATGAACATTTTCAAGCGAGGCAATCATAGAATATTCCACTATAGACCTAATGTAATGAGATTTGTTAATGCTTTAAGCGTTTATAAGTTCTCTCATTTACTTTTTGTGTCTTCGAAAATCTGCTGGAGCAGAAGACATCGAATTACTTTCACACCCAAATCATTCTATTTCCTTACCATTTTCTACTTATTTGAGTTTAGTGGAATTAACCGAATATTACAACATTACTCAATTCCTGTCAGATTATTTTGAATTATGTGCTATTCCAGAGAATTTATATACACAGGGTGATTGACAACTTATCCAAAAAAATTTGGGATTAGATGCGGCATGAGAATTGGAGTTAATAACGTATAAAAATTTTTGTAAAATCCTTATAGTTTCCGAGAAAAAAATTATTGAAGTTATAGTACATTCAACCACTACATAGCTGGACAACTGTAGTCTCTAGCGTCATTCGCAATACGCGCGGAGAACCATGTGACTCCTAATACTGACATCCATCGTTGCGGTAGTTTTTACCTGTTATCTGCGGTGTTTACAACAGTTTTTTAGTAGTTAGTGTCAAAAATAGTTTGCGTGTATAGCAACTCAGAGTTGATGGATATCGTTTTAATTTATGGTGAAGCAAGACAACATTTGTATTATGGTGAAGCATTTGTGCTATGGTGAAGCAAGACATCATTTGTATTAGTTCGTAGAAACTGAGTAAGACGGACCCAAATGTGTTTACACGTTAGTGGATAAAATTTTGAACAATAACTGTTGTTGTAACATCGGGTATGTCAAATGATTTTATTATTTAGAAGCACAATTTAATTTTATTAATTAATAAAGGCAAAAGCAGTTGAATTTGCCGATATAAAATAGGTGTTATAAAATTCTATTTACATATTTCTTTCCTTTCGTTTTTGTCCGTTTTTATCACACCGCCATGTTGGTCGCATTGTGCGAGGTCAGGTTTTACAGTGGACCAGTTTCCAGTGCCGTGCAGAAGTGTATTTTTAAATCAATTTCGAACTGCCTTTTTTGATTTTTTCTTTACAAAATTGTATTTGTAAGGGTCCCCTGTACATCCAGAATTTTTTTTTTTGGATAAGTTCTGAATCACCCTGTATATTTTAGTAACGTCTGCATAAAAATTATGAGGAATAGTTATAAAGTTCCTACACTACAGCGTACCTAATAGTCCTACGCTGAAACGCAAGAGACCATTGATCTTGGTAATATATTGCTCATAATTGATTCAGGCTTCTATTTTAATTTCGAAGCCAATTTATTTTAGAGTAGAAAAAATATATCGTGAAGTATTATTATTATGTTATATTAGTTAATTTACAGTGTACGTATTAACGCTATCTGTTTTATTTTCTGTTTTTACAGAGGAAGATTCTATATGCACATTAAGCTCAGTAGGTGAAAAGGGAATCTGTAAATTAATATCCGATTGTCCTTACGCTCGGGATCTTTTAAAAAGGAAGGTGTACCCTCAAATATGTGGCTTTATTGGAAGAATTCCATTAGTTTGCTGCATATCGAATCAAGGCTCATCTCTGGCGACAGAACCTCCAACTACCTCAACTACAAAAAGTCTTACTAACGTTCACTTAAAACCATCATTATCGTCGCAAAACCTTGCAGCGTTCTCAAGTGAAAATCCTGGAGAACTTAGCAGGAATAGTAAGTTTTATAATTTTGTCAGGTATTAAACAAATTCAAACCCCTAATTTAATTTCTTAGAATGTTTGTCGTACTACCCTAAACCACAATATCCTATTTTGGTAACTGGTGGTGAACCGTCCCTGGTTAAGGAGTTTCCCCATATGGTAAGGATCATTCTATATATTAACCATATTATAGGTAACCATATACAGGGTCATTCACAAACGGTGACCTAAAATGAAACATCGTATTTTTTGGTGAATTCTTTCGTATAAAGTTTTTATCTAGGACGTTTCGTTAAAAATAAAAAAATATTTTAAATTTTTTTAAATAATTTGAAAACTAGTAAGTGAAATAATTTGAAATTGGGTACAAGTATTAATGTAAACATTGTCCAAAATCTGAGGCCTTTTCCTAAAATTTACAATTAGATGCTCCAGTGCCGTAGATACAGGGTATCGGTGGCATATTTTTCTAAATAAAATAGTACGCCACTGCTTTACGGTAACAATTATGATATTTTCGGATTCGTCCTTCAATTTTCTATAAATTATTACTATCTTATGTTTTTCGAATTGCGGTTTAAAATTACATAGGCTGCGATAGCAACTTTGACATTCTGAGCAGTTACAACAAAGAATAAATAATGCTTTTCATCAGATCAAGCAACAATAAATTTCGAACAAATTACATTTACGTTACTAAAAAGATGCCGCGCCTGTGTTTGTGGAAATGGAGGTATTATTGAGCATTTACTCAAATAAAATCATTAAAATGATGACTAATGTTATTAATTTCTTTATTCGAATAAATAACCGAATGATTAGTGCTTGTCATGTCATTTAAGTAAAAATGTTTCTAGTTGTTTTTTTTATGTTTTACTCGAAAATCTGGTTTTTTTCGAAAAACATAAGAGAGTAGTAATTTATAGAAAACTGAAAGACAACTGAAAATATCATGGTTTTTACCGTAAAGCAGTGGCGTACTATTTTATTTAGAAAAATATGCCACCGATGCCCTGTATCTCCTCCACTGGAACATCTAAATTTTAGGAAAATACCTTAGATTTTAGACATTGTTTACATGTGCCCCATTTCAAATTATTTCACTTACTAGTTTTTAAATTATTTAAAAACATTTTTTTTACAAGTTAACACCCTGCATCTTTTTAACGAAACGTCCTATTTAAAAACTTTACACAAAAGACTTCCCTTAAAATTCACCAAAGAACACGAGGATTCATTTTCGGTCACCATTTCCCTGTATGCAGATACAAAGGGCGTTCTATTAATTCCTGTTTATGAAAGTACTATAAACATTAGGGTCAAAATTTACCGATTTAGCTAAATTTGCCCTACGATGTAGTAATGTGTATTTTCTATTTGTCCGCTTTGACTCATCATTTTAGCGCAAGTGATCAATTTTTTGTCTTTCTCAAATGATAAAATATTGTAATAAATAGAAACAAAACTAAAAGTATATCACAAATAAATGACTTTAGATTAAGATCCCTAGATTGACCAGATATCGCAACTTATTATTACTCCAAAATGATTGTTTCAAAATGTCACTTTGTGTTTAACATTTATAAATATTGTGCAAATTAATTATTACCTACATTTTTTTATTTAATCACAAATTTATCAAAATTGAATTATCTATACCATTTTACATCAAAATTTTGGATTATTGTGTAACAAACTGTTTAAAATTATTTTGTATATTTGTGCATGCAAAAAAATGCGTGTTTTAAAAAGTATTAAAAGTTTTACTAATTTTTTAAATATTAAGGGCATTGAATATAATTTTAATAGGCTTTCAAATAGCAGCTAAATTTGAAAAAATGTAGATAATAATAATTAATATGTGACAAAATATTTAAAATCATAGGAAAGAATAATCGATTGTAGTGCTTTGTCAGTCTAGGAACGTTATTTTAGACTAAAGTCCCTAGGCTGGCAAATGTACAACAATCGCCACATTGAGGTAAAATCAGTATTGCTAACCTTGAAATATAATGTTTTTTATTACTTAATTTTCATATTATATCGAATAGTATATTACGTAACAATTCAATATTTTAATCTATCTACAACAATTAAATTTTATCTTTTACGACAACAAGCACAAAATGACATCTGTCAAACCTTCATTTTGCGATCAGTTGCGGTACTTAGTAAACCTACGGACTTTACTTTAGATTGAAGTTCCTAGAATGATAAAGTACCGCAATCCACCAGCATTTTGTAGCAAAATCATTATTGTCAACCTTAAAACATAAGTTTGAATTTTCAAATGTTTTTAATTATTTAATTTTTTATGTATTACAGTTTATTGTGTAATAATCCAACATTTTAATCTAAAGTACTACAACAATTAAATGTCAATCCGCTATGTTGGGCAATGAAAACAATTGCGATACTTGATCAATTTAAGGACCCTCTAGCGTCTGAACTAAGCAACTTTGTATATTACATTTAGTTAAAAAGGTATTATTTATTTCAAGCAAATGCAATAGTATCATTTACACGAAATATTGGGACACTCCATTTTTGTCTTTCCTTGTAGGCAATCATTGGTTACGGAGAAAGCAATAACATTCAGTGGTATTGTGGGGGTTCCTTGATCAGCAAGCGGTTCGTTTTGACTGCTGCTCATTGCCTTACCAGTAAAGCGTAAGTTACCGAACATTTTTAATAACAATTAAAAAAAGAAACTATTTCTTGCAGTGGTGAAGCCAAATACATCCGATTAGGTGACCTAGACCTATCCACCGAACAAGATGACGCTGATCCACAAGATTACACAATTATCAGAAGAATCCCACATCCCTCCTTCAAACCACCAGCCAGGTACCACGACATCGCTTTGTTAGAAGTTGACCGCGAAGTGGCGTTATCAGCTTACGTCTCACCTGCTTGTTTGAATACCGAAAGGGAAGTTAATCACACCAGACTAACCGCAACTGGTTGGGGGGATACTCGCTTTGGAGGGAATTCTAGTACTTTCTTGATGAAGGTCGATTTGAATCATATATTCAATAACAAATGCGTGGAGGTTTTTGGGAGATATTCAACCACTCTGCTACCCAATGGTATAGTTGACGATTTTCAAGTCTGCGCGGGTGGGATAATTGGTCAAGACACATGCCAGGTAAATTTAATTGTCTAAGATGTAGGGTGGTATCTCTCTGGGGGTTCCGCGATTAATTCAAAAATTCAATTTTTTTTTTTCGTCAATTTAAATATTATTATTCTTACTTTAATTTACTTTAATTCGAGGCTTTCCATACGCATCAAGATGGATGTAACGGATTTATGTTTAGGATTTAGGTCTGTTACCTTACCTTACCTTACCTTACCTTACCTTACCTTACCTTACCTTACCTTACCTTACCTTACCTGACCTGACCTGACCTGACCTGACCTGACCTGACCTGACCTAAATAACTTATTAGTTAATTTTCTTTATTAAGAAGCTATCTCTAAGCAGTATTTTATTTTAGGGCGACTCTGGAGGGCCCCTGCAAGTGCCAGATCGAGAAAGATCTTTTTTAGTAAAAGTACATAGTCTTATTGGAGTGACGTCCTTTGGAAAAGCGTGTGGTTTGTCAAAGTCACCTGGTGTCTACACGAGAATTTCCAATTACCTCCCTTGGATAGAAAGCATTGCTTGGGAAAAGGAACCAACGTTTTACGGATTTAGACCCTTAAATTAGAATTAACGATATAATTTTATTGGATGTCATCAACTTGTGTTATCTCAACGAAAACATTGAACTGAGGAAAAGACATCTTCAGGATCCTAGAAATAGTGATTATACTCGCATTTTTTAAAATGAACGTCATGTGGACTGAATTTTATCCAGAGCTTTCATAAATGCCATGGGACCGTCGAAAATAGGCAACCAACATTACACGATTGGCACTACTAAAAATGTCTTTATGAAGGCTGTGTATTCATTAAAAAAAAAACAATTCTGTTTTAGAAGTATTTTGAATTTTGTTTAACAAATGAGAAAAAGACCTTGAACCGGCCCTGTCCCCAATGAAACTGAATTCGGAAACCAAACTATCTAAACAAACTTTACTGCGTATTACTAAGCAATTTAAATCTCTCATTAGACCGCAACTCAAACAAAAATTTGCGCCAAATAAATCAATTTGATTGCCCGTCAGTTGAAAGATTGTTTAATGTTTTTAACCCAAGACGACTTGTGATGTCTCATTGCTTTACTACCTAATGAATAATAAAATGGCCATCTGGAAATTGAGACATCTTTTTTTTTGTGGGTCTTAAACGGTCGTCCAAACATATGTGCCCTTGAAGAAGTGCGTTAACACTCTACGCCGAGTTCTAAGTCAAGTCCATTCGATTGGACTTATCGAATGCGGCGGAATTGCTTAATCGGTGATTATGGCAAAGGTGGTTCGAATATTGGTGTTTGTTTGTCTACGGTGTGTTCTGTGTGTCCCGCCCAGTCCTACCAGTGCCGTGACGGACATGCTGAAGGCGGAATTTGGAACCATGAAGAACACCATCAAGGTGCTGTCAGGTACTGTGATTTGTTTATTGTACACTAATTATTGTGCTAGTTATTTTCCTTATGTACGTTCAAAATAGCGTAAGCGTAAGTGGGTTCAACATCTGATAAATCAGTAAAGAAAAAAGTATTCTATACGCGACACAAATGATGGAAGACCGAATTGTGCCATCTCAGAACTTGACAAATCAGATTCAGGTTCAGGTTCATTGTAAAATAGTTTCAAAATTATTAGGTAATAAAGGACTTCGAGATTAATATTCTTTAAACCTAAGGGTATAACCGTGAAATATCACAATTATTATTCTCTTTCACAGCAGTAGTTATATTTTAATGGCATTTGTTCAGGGCGTTGCAAAATACTGCTGTTGACAGTGTAGTTTTATATTAATGTTACCCCTATATTTTAGATCAATGGGAAAAATGGAACACCCTCTTCTTGACCTCCTTAGAACCAAGAATTTCATCCACCGCGTCCACTTTAGCTAGCATAGACAGCAACATCCACAATCTACAAGAGAGAGCCCACGTGTGGGATACGTTCCAGTTACACGTGTCAGCTTGGAATGAACAACTCGCATCGTTGGATAGAAAAGTGGATATAATAAGCAAGTAATGACCAATCTTTATTTTACATTTACAAATCATAAAACATTTTCCTTGTTGCAGGGGTCAAGAAAAAGTACTTAACCTCGACGGCAAAATAAACGCCATGGAATACAAGCTAGACAACACTTTGAAGATTCTGAATAGTATTCAAGATTCCGTGGGCAACCTAGACACAACAGTATACTCCAAAAAGAGCCAAGATGTCTTATTTAACGAATTTGCTACTAGAGGCATCTTAAGCTCCATCAAATTAGTTGAAAAGAAGTTGGACAGACTCCTGATCTTGAACCAAAATAACCTGCTGAAAAAGGTCACCGACGAGAAGCCTAAGCTTACGATAAAGTGTAACACTCCCAGGATATTAGAAGATCTTTTAAATGATATATCCTCAAAGGTTGATGTGATCTTTGACAATATCAGTAGTACTAGAGACGAAGACGATGACTCTGAATACGATGGTGATTATCTGAATGTCAGTGAAGGAAGCGGTGTAGAAATCGATGCCAAAAATCAGTCGCAAAAGAAGCGTTTGAGAAAAGCAATCAGGAAGATCATGTTGCCTTGTAAACATACAAACCAAGCCTTGGAAGAAATTCTAAATAGATCTATCAGAATAGAAAACACTTCTCTTATAATCCTAGATAAAGAAAACACTCATTTTGAAAAATTATCCAAAGATAGCTCTGAATGCAAACCCGTTGTCTCCATTGGTAGACAGTCTCAAGAAATTACAAGACATATAAACCTAATTTTGGACAGCTATTTCAGTGAACAAAGGGCTCATTTTGAGAGCATATCTAATAAATTAACTAAAAGATATTGTGGCTCTAAACCGGAAACGTATTACAATTTAGCTACACCACAAACTCCAACATATTCAACAACTAAACAGAAATCTACTTATGCTGATGTATTTGCTGTTGCTACTACATCTTCTACCCTTCATGGCACCAGTGAAGGAAGAATCAACGAAACTACTAACGCTAAATCATTTGAAAATTCAATTGAAACAAATAATCCACTACCAACTTGGACACCAATAATGGATCAAAATAAATCATCCTGCGAGGACTTGGACAGAGACGATAGTAGCGGTGTGTATATATTTGGAAACAATGTTGAAGGAACAAATACAGAATTATTTTTCAACAAACGGTACTGTGAAATACGTGATGACGGTTGGTGGACTGTTGTGCAAAGAAGAGACAATTACAATGTCCAAAATAATTTCAATGTGTCTTGGGATAACTACAAATACGGTTTCGGAAACTTGCATAGAGACTTCTGGATGGGGAACGATTTCTTGTCCAGTTTGTCAAATAATTTCAGTTTAACTCTGAGGATTGAATTGGAAGATTTCGAAAACCATTCTGCCTGGGCAGAGTACAATACATTTAGGATATCACCTGAAGCTGATAATTATAGACTAACCATTGGTGGGTACTCAGGTAATGCTACCGATTCATTTTCCGGTCACAACGATTCACAGTTTAGTACTTATGACAAAATCAATGATGCTGCACCAGAGTGCTGTCCGTGTGCCGTTTCTTATGGAGGAGGTTGGTGGTTTAACAGGTATAAAAAATGTCTTCCGAAAAAGCAAATAAAAAAAATAATGTAATAAATAAATTGTGTCCTAAAATAAAACTGTTTTCAGGTGCTTTGAATCAAATCTAAATGGCATATATTACAAAAGACCCAACGAAAATGATTACTTCAGAGGAATTATCTGGGAACATTGGTTAGGAAATTATTCTTTGAAGAAGACAGTTATGATGGTAAAATCTAGGAGTCGTACTTATCCAGAAAACTACCCCTCCCCAAAATTTCCAGACACAGAAACAATACCTTATTATGAAGACCCATGATAGTAACTTTAAAATATTGTCTAGATATAGATGTTTATATTCAGGTATATCACAAATTATTTTGTGTCCCCTCTACAGACATAACAGTTGTTATAATCTTAATACTAATAAACTACATGTTCAGCTACTGTCTAAATATTTTAATATATTCTAATGTCTATAAGTATAAAAAGAAAGTATAGTTCTAATCACAAGTAACTGCAATGAGTTAACTTAAGATAACTGGTAAACTTCCCTCAANCTTCTCAGATCTTAGTCTTAATCCTAGAAAAATTAAAAGATGCGAACTTTCAAGGTCATGTCTTAAGACCTCCTTACGACTAGGGATTTTTATAAACCGATACATTACATTCTGTACATTTAACTTATTAGGACTAAGATTAAGGTTAATACTAAGACTAAGTTAGGACTAATACTTTTTTATAAACCAACCATTATTGGTGAACAAATAAAATTACATATCTATTGACCAATCACCCGTTCAACGCGTACAGGATTGTAAAATAAAAAGTTCAAAGCAAACGGACCTTAATCCAAAGCAATCTGACATTTTGTACCATAGAAGAGTGTTGAGATTTTGTATTTTGTACTTTCTAACCTTACTACTTTTCAAAAATGAAAGTAACAGAAAAATAATTAATATTTTATCATTATATTTAACACTTGTAACTTCTGTTATTGCTTTGATGGGTTATATCTATGGGTTATATTCAACCATGACTGAATGTTATTTTATTTGCATTCTGAGCATGCGCAAAATCAACCAAAACATAAGCATAGACATAAAAGTTAAAATATTGGAACTTTCAAGGTCACTTTTATAGGCCTAATACTATGCTTAATTCTAAAACCACTGCATAAACGCTCCCATAAAAAAAGCAGCTCTCAACTTTAGACTTATTACTAAAACAAAGTTTGTGCTTATGTTCATGCTGCATAAACTCGCCTATACACTGCTATTAACATTTTTTACGGCAATTAAAGAATATTGCAAAAAACGTCAATTTAAATCATAGACCCAATTTTAGTTTACCCTTGATTTAAATATTTAAATACAAAACGGTAAAACGACAAAACATGGTAAAACCACAGCTAACAGAATACCAGGGCCCGAGAATACTTGAAAAAATGGGGAAACTCTGGGAACCACGTGACTTGAGATGGATATACAAGTTGGGGAAAGAGTCTATAGATGTCGCGACAAAGATTTTGTAGAATAAATTTTGACAATTGCAATTATGAATCATTTCATGGATATCAACACAACGAAAAATTTAAAGTTGCATAATAAATCTCTATTACAAGAATTTATCACAGATGGGTTTAGTAAAATTATTTACTTGTAATATTTTTTTATTCACCGTGACAGCTAATACAATATAGAAAGCACTGAAACTCTATAATCATTTTCACTCTTTTTTTTTCAAAATATGTACTGAAATTTGAAATTTTTTTAACAAACATTTTAAAAAGTTACAGTATCAAAATTATTTCTTATTTTAAGTAGGAAGACTATTAGAGCATTTAAAAGTGTCTTTAATGCTTGAGTGATTTTAANTAAGGCGTACGAGAACCCCCCGGAGAAGAAGGAGGGCGAAGATGAAGACGAGGATATGGAGGCCGAAGGTGACGAAAGTATGGAAACTCAAGAGACGTGAGAGGTTTGAGTTTTTGCTTTTCTATCCGTAATTTTTTTTTGTATTGTGATTGAATCTGTAATTATTTTATGTGGGTACACGTAATACTTCTGTTACCGTAGGTATCCTTAGTTTATTATGTTCCACCTAATTTATGTTCTTAAGAATAAAAGATTTCTTAATAATATTAATAGTTAATAAATTTTCACACTTTTATCGGTCATTTTATTCTAGTCTGTCCACGTGAATGTTGATAATAGAAAATTTTCTATAGATATTTTTTTAATTTAGGCACAACTTTAATGGGGGTCACATTTTGACCTTTAGAAACATATATGAGGGTTGTCTTTTATATTTCGGGAATGGACGATCCTGGTGTTGCCATCTGACAACCGACGCACAGTGGGCGAAAATGCTCAAAATTCCGTTTGAGGTATAGTCCAAGCATTCTGTCGAGGATTAACGTTAAATTTGCAGTAATTATTACCTGGACAAAAAAAATATAACCGTATAGAAAATTGAATTTTAAATTAAGTTTCTTATTCTTTAAACTCGATACAAAATGACGAACATGGTTAAAAAAAATCGCAAAGTTGCAAAAAATGGTTTTTCTAAAATAACTACAAAAATATAGCACCTATTGAAAAATTTTAAATGAGAAAGTTGTAGGTTTTAAGAAGATCTATCGACTGATTTTTTGTAAGTATCGATTGCTTTGTTACTTTTCGAGATATATCGAAAAAACCATTAAAAATCTGCTCTTTTCTCTTCTTCTCTAACTCGTTTACATTTACATTCCCATATTTGCTATTTACTGCAAGCATAGCCCGCGGTAAGCCAAAAAAGTACATTTTTGAAAAATTTAAATATATTAATTATTTTTCGAGATATATTGATTTTTTGAAAAAAAGGCGCTCTCGAAAATTGGCTAGATCTTCTCAGCGGATAGCCCTACAGTAACGATTTTCGGTTTATTTTCTTTGTAAAGAGTTATATTATCATGCTGTTAAAAAATGTTTACGATTTTATTAATTTTAAGGATCAAAAAATGACTGAAAATGTTGCACTTTTTTTGGGCGTTTTTTTCAAATAACTATTTCAATTTTTATTTTATCAAAATGACTTTTAAAGAAAGAAACTGCTGACATTTTTTCACGAATTAAAAAAAAATGTTTTCTAAGACCTTCTGGAGCCAAGAAAATTTTTTTTGTTTTAATTTGAGGACGCAATTAACATTTTACAGTGATTCCCTTGATGGAGGTTAATATTGAATACTTATATTTTCAAAAAAAAATTAGTAGGATATCAAAGATTTTGAAAGCGCTAGCCATTTAGACTGCACGTCATCAGTTTTCCGAAAGAGCGCGTGCCGCTTTCCCCTACTTCTCCGTCCGCTCCAGCTGACGCACTCAGCCCTTGCACGCTCCAGTTTATTACTCAATTACTAATACTAAAAATCAAGGAAACATATCCTACTATTTTTTTTTTTTAAATATAAGTATTCAATATTAACCTCCATAAAGCGCATCGCGGTAAAATATTAATTGCGTCCTCAAAATTTTTTTTTAAGTAAAAGAATTATCTTGGCTCCAGAAGGTCGTAGAAAAACATTTTTTTTTAAATTCGTGAAAAAATGTCAGCAGTTTCTTTCTATAAAAATCATTTNTGTTTTCAGGTGCTTTGAATCAAATCTAAATGGCATATATTACAAAAGACCCAACGAAAATGATTACTTCAGAGGAATTATCTGGGAACATTGGTTAGGAAATTATTCTTTGAAGAAGACAGTTATGATGGTAAAATCTAGGAGTCGTACTTATCCAGAAAACTACCCCTCCCCAAAATTTCCAGACACAGAAACAATACCTTATTATGAAGACCCATGATAGTAACTTTAAAATATTGTCTAGATATAGATGTTTATATTCAGGTATATCACAAATTATTTTGTGTCCCCTCTACAGACATAACAGTTGTTATAATCTTAATACTAATAAACTACATGTTCAGCTACTGTCTAAATATTTTAATATATTCTAATGTCTATAAGTATAAAAAGAAAGTATAGTTCTAATCACAAGTAACTGCAATGAGTTGACTTAAGATAACTGTTAACTACCCTCAATGATCTGCTTTCAGTTTACCAATAAATTTTATTGCCTTTTCTAATTTTAATTTATTGAAGGAATGTGAAACAATTAAAAGGTGGTAGCAGTTATTAGAATTCATATACGTGTGCATTTAATTATTTCATTTCATCTTCCGTATTATACTAATACATTTCTCGTTTCAATTACCCGTACTACAAGAATTTTGAAATTCCCGCATATAATACTAGTGATTTTAATTTTATTAAGTTTAGAGACCTGCTGGTGTGCTGGCCATATTGATTTTAGAGGGCTTGTGTGTTTGGTTTGTGCGTGACCGGCTATTAGAAATTTTATTAACGTTAAACGAATTTTAGGTGAGTATTTATTTAAATCAGTAAATACTATGTTATTTGTTGATATTCTCATTATAAGAGTTTGATTTAAGTGCGTTTTAGAAAAATGGCTAGAGGAGGCATGAGAGGTAGAGGCGGCATGAACCGAGGCATCGGCAGACCACCGTACAAAGTGAAAATGTTCTTACCCCGACATCCATTTGATTTGGCATTATGTGAATTATCTTTCCCACGTGTAAAGGCAGCCCCTGATGAGACTATATTCACACAAGCCCTGCTGAAGCGTAATGCTGACCTGTCTCCGACACCAGCTGAGCAGACAGCCATTTTAAATCTTGTTACTAAGATTCAGACCGTGTTGGATAATCTGGTAGTTGCCCCGGGGAACTTTGATGCTTGTGTAAGTACGAAGTGATTATAAATATGAATCCTAACTAATTAGAACCGGAGTAGTTCAAATTGTCCTTGGGATTATCAAAATATTCGGACTAGTGAGAGACGATATTTTAGATTTTTTCTTTTAATTTAAAGGTTAACAAAAGTTGATAAATTAAAATGTGTTTTTAGGAATTTCAGCTTTGACACACTGTATCTTTTAAACTGAACCCTTTCAGATCCAAAATAAAATTTGTCCATAAATTTTACATCGTTTGAAAGATATATTTTTAAAATTTTGGCTGGTTAAAATAAAATATTGCTGTTGTCTTTTAAACTAAAAATCTTCCTATATAGAGGTTTCCTTTTTTTTAAAAGCAAAAATTATTAGGTTAATTTGTTAAATCAAATAATAATTTTTCAAGACTAACTGGAAATCCTAAATATGTCAAGGAAAGGCAAAAAGTTCTTTCCATCAGCGTTAAATTGTCATAATTCCGGTGCATAAAAGTCTATTCATGTACTTTTTTTACAGCAGTTAGATGAAGTCCGCCAAGTGGGCTCCTTCAAAAAAGGCACCATGGTGACCGGGCATAACGTAGCCGATATCGTGGTTATACTCAAAACTTTACCGACTCGAGAAGCAGTCGAAGCGTTGGGCAACAAGGTCAAAGACGACCTGAAAAACCTGATGAAAAACGAAATCGTCGCTAAAGGTGAGCAACTAACCCACACCACGAACGAAAGGGGCATCGAAATAAGCAACTCTTACGCTTGCGTGAGAGTAATGGTGACCACCCTCCATCACAACATCAGAAAACTCGACCCGGAAATCCACCTGGACCAGAAAATCATGTTGAGCCACTTAGCATCGATTCGTCACAGCCGGTGGTTCGAAGAGAACGCCCATCACTCCTCCATAAAAGTCCTGATCCGACTATTAAGGGACGTCCGTAACAGGTTTGAGGGCTTCGAACCCCTGACCCCTTGGATGCTCGATTTGCTGGCGCACTTTGCCATAATGCACAACCCCAGCAGACAAGCCTTACCTATAAACGTCGCCTTCCGTCGTGTCTTCCAGTTGCTATCTGCCGGGTTGTTCCTTCCTGGTTCCGCCGGAATTACGGATCCTTGCGAAGGGGTCAGTCTAAGAATCCACACGGCGATGACGTTGGAGCAGCAGGACATATGCTGTCTGACCGCGCAGACCCTGCTTCGGGTGTTGTCGCACGGGGGATACAAACACATCTTGGGCTTGGAAGGGAACAGTTCCATAGCTAAGGAGATGTCGGTGTGGGACGGGGTGGTCGTGTCGCCCTTGGATAAGGCGTACGAGAACCCCCCGGAGAAGAAGGAGGGCGAAGATGAAGACGAGGATATGGAGGCCGAAGGTGACGAAAGTATGGAAACTCAAGAGACGTGAGAGGTTTGAGTTTTTGCTTTTCTATCCGTAATTTTTTTTTGTATTGTGATTGAATCTGTAATTATTTTATGTGGGTACACGTAATACTTCTGTTACCGTAGGTATCCTTAGTTTATTATGTTCCACCTAATTTATGTTCTTAAGAATAAAAGATTTCTTAATAATATTAATAGTTAATAAATTTTCACACTTTTGTCAGTCATTTTATTCTAGTCTGTCCACTTGAAAGTTGATAATAGAAAAATCTCTTAATATTTTTTTAATTTGGGTACAACTTTAATGGGGGTCATATTTCAAAGGAGACTACCTTTGACCTTTAGAAACACATGAGGGTTGTCTTTTATATTTCGGGAATGGACGATCCTGGTGTTGCCATCTGATAACCGACGCACAGTTGGCAAAAACGCTCAAAATTCCGTGCGAAGTAGTAAAAGTTATCCAAGTCAAGGTTTTAGGGGGATAAAGATCAATAAGTAAAAGAATATTTTAAACCATTGCTAACGTTTCGGTGTTATTTTACACCATCCTCAGGGCTGTAAAATACAATGTCTTTTATAAAATTCATTAACGTTTTAAATACATTTATAGTTCTAAATTATTGTTCCTGTCACAATTACCATAAACCCGAAAAAGAAAAATTCTAGAACAGCTCTAAAATTAATAACATTACGCACTCACCGAAATTTGAAGTGTGCTTTGTCCAACTTAACAGTATGTGTACAGGGTGATTCACTATATTTTGACCCCACCTTTAACTTTTTTGTTTTAAGAATTATAAAAAAATGTGAAATACAAAACTTGCACGATTTTTTATGAAGTTTTTGAAAATGATAGTAGAAAACAAATGAAGTCCAAACAAAATGGCCGTGGTTGTTAACTTTATTAATTTAAATGGAACACCCTGTATATTTTTACATATTTGAATAGAATGTTCCCTGTCGAGCATAGTCATATTTGTTGGGTCAATTTTTAACAATAAGCGAGATAATATTAAAAACCGAAAAAAGGTTTTTTTAAGACAATAAGACATTTTATAATTGTTATACCTCTTTCAGGCATTTCTGCCTTTTTTCTAATTACGTAAGGATTTAGATTTAGTTGCAATATATTTCGATATATCAGACATTGATACGGTCCAAAATGCATATAGGTATTTTAACTAAATCTCACTAATTAGACCGTGTGAGGTCAACTACTCGTGGACAATGTTATATGGTAAGTCATGATAATGACAGGTAGTAATGTCATTATAACATTGTTATTGATTGACAGTTTGTATTATTATTTAATTATAATGGGTTACACAGAAGTAGAAAATTGAAATACTATAGGAATTAAAATAGAGTAAGAACTTACTCTATTTTAATTCCTAATTTCAAATTGCTACTTTTGTGTAACCCATTTAATTAATACAAACTGAAAAACAATAACAATGTTGTTATAACATTACCTGTGATTGTCACAGCCTACCATATAACATTGTCCATAAGTAAATAGGCCCCACACGACCTAATTAGTGAGATTTAGTTAAAATATGCATTTTGGACTATATCAATGTCCAATATGTGAAATTATATTGCAACTAAATCTAAATCCTTACGTAATTGGAAAAAAGGCAGAAATGCCTGAAAGTGGTCTAACAATTACAAAATATCTTGTTTTCTTAATAAAAAACCTTCATTTCGTTTTTTAATATTATCTCGTTTATTTTTAGACATGGGCCCAACAAACCCTGTATGACTGTTTGACAGGAAACGTTCTATCCAAATATGTAAAAATATACAGGGTGTTCCATTTAAATGAACAAAGTTAACATCCGCGGCCATTTTGATTAGACTTATTTTTTATAACTCTTAAAACAAAAAAGTTAATGGGGGGGTCAAAATATAGCGAATCACCCTGTACTTATAATTCATGGAACAAATTGAATACAATTTTCTTTCACAGTAAGTAATGTCTTACAATTAGGTACTATTTAGCAGGATGACAGTTGAAAAATACATTAATTCTAATGTGTGCAGATATGTCTCTTTATCCTCTTCTTCTTTTTCTCCCTTTTATTTTTTATTTTTTACTTTTCAATCCAACACATTTATGAAAAAAGTCTAAACCTCAGTAAACCAATCTACTGTTATAGTCTTTCCGAAGTCAGTTGTACATGTATAAAAACGCCTGGCAATAAAGTTAAGTTTCATGGGCATCCCTATAAAAAGTTTTCTGATAAAGGTAAAAAATAATTTGCATATAATGTGTAGAAAATCTCTATTATATGTTCATTTGGCCAACAACATATTTTAATTATTTATGTCCTCAATTTTCTATATATAAATTATAAATTGTCCGCCGAATTACGTCTCTCGTCATGTCACCGATATTTTTAATTTTTTGTTTAATGACACGAAAAATTGTGGACACTGAAACTTTTGATAATATTTGAATGTTACTTGTAATTTCATTATCTGATTTTTCATTTTCTTCCTTTTTTAAACAATCTTTAAAATGAGATGCTGACATTGAACATGTAGATCTTTATTTATAAATTCTAAATCTGTTTCATCAACAATCGATTCTACTAATTCAATATTGTCTGGTGGTATTTTGTTTTGTTCCATTTCAAAAGGTCTCCAAAATGCCATGCAATAATATTAGTAAACAAAATATTCTTCTTATTTCTCCCGTTCGCAATTGTAATATGAATGATTATTAGAATAGTCGAGGAAATAAAACACTAAAAACGGCCTTACCTGATCAATGAGAAATGAAAATTGCATCGGTGCATAACAAAAATGCATATTTAAAATTGCATCACGAAGAGTTAAAAAATGAAAAATATATAACTTGGAAAATATTGACAGAAATTAGTTCAATTTTGCTACTCAGGGGTTTTTGGGGTTGCTGAACACGAATATCACGACGGCAATGGTCTCCGAGTGCCCAGGGTGGCCGGTTTCCACGTCGTTTCCTGGAGTTTTGTGAAAATTCGTTATAAACTTAGCCGAAACTCATTACCTTGAGGTTTTTGGGACCACTGAACACGAATGTCACGACGGCAACGGTCTCCAAGGTACCTAGTGCCCAGGGTGGCCGGTTTCCACGTTGTCTCCTGGAGTTTTGTGAAAATTCGTTATAAACTTACCCGAAACTCGTTACCACGGGGTTTTTGAGGTCGCTATACACGAATATTTTACAGTGCCTTGCAAGTGTATTTTTAAATTATTTTCGAATTGCTCTTTTTAATTTTTTTGTTTTACAAAATTGTATTTGTAAGCCCCCTGCACATCCAATTTTTTTATTTTTTTTTTGGATAAATTCTGAATCACTGTATAGAGTATTTCATTAAAAAAAACACACAAATATGGGCCATATTTTTTTAATGTGATGTTTGTTTTTTAGAAACATAAAAAATTAAAAAAACATAAACAACTTAGGTACTTTAATTTTCTCTTAGACAGGTAGATACAAAAATACTACTTTAAACTGCATGAAATCATTTTAATAAATAAAAAAATAAAAAATATCTACAAGCAAAAATCAAGTTTTTTGGCTGTTAAATCTACTGGGTACTTTGAGAAAGCTGGCATAAATTTTTAGGCTAATAGAACATAAGACTATAAAACAATTTTTTTCTTCTCTTCCATTTAATTATTTTTGTTTTGAGAAAAGTCATGTTTGTCGCCCTGTTTCTAGGCCCATGGCATAAAGGAAAAAATCGTTTTATTCTTTTTTCAGCCCCTGGATTTATGGCACCTGTTTCAAAACACCATGTACACTTCAAATATTCTATAAGGAGTTATATACAAGGGTTATTATGCTGCATATTAACGTGGTGGCAATACACCCTATCATTCGGATTAATTATAGGTATTCTGAACAGCTTTCCGCCAGGCACACAGACGCATACTTTAAACTGCCCGGTCAGGTACCTGTTATTGCTTAGTTGAGCTATCGGTAGTCTGTTAATGTCTATATATACCCCCTCATGTCCGTTAAGTACAATAGAACCGTTACTGCTTAGGAAAATGTCCTGACCGGCGCTCCAAATTATTTCTTTTCCTTCTACTTTCGTGCCTTCGGCCCCTTTTAAGTTCAGGTCCCCCCCTTCGATTTTGAGGTCTTCGTCGCTGGGACTCCTTATTTTGTTGGTTTGGATACGTCTCGATGAGAGACCTTTCCCGTTTTTCAAAGATGTAAATACAGGATCGGTTATAGTGAACAGTGATTCGTCCTTTTCGTTTTTGACAACGAAAGAGTTGATTCCTTTGAACGCAGTCTCGTTTGTGTTGACTTGGAGTTTAGTGACGGGTCTCCCGGTTCGGGAGTATAATTTGACTTGTATGGGACTACCTTCGGAGGTAACTTGAAGGGGTTCGTCTTTGTAACCTTCTATAATACCGTCCCTTTTGTAGATATGGTCTAGGTCCACATCTCCGAAGAACTTTATTGTCTCTTCTTCAGGTATTAGCTCTATGCTTTCCATGCCTATACAAAAATGCAATTAATGGTACAAAAAATACAGTATTGTTCATCACTTTTAGGAGTTTTAGTGAGAGAGACTAGTGAGAGTATTTTAGTATTAATACGACATTCAAGAATACCTAATAAGTTCTCATGAATACTCGGCTATAAAATTATATTAGATTAAAAATTTTAATGCTTTAGGCCTAGGCATTTGCACTCTATATACCTAGATTCGTCTTGCAATTCTCATCACATGATATGAAATTATTTGTTGAAAAGTTAGAGCAATTACACGTGAATTGTGGTTATGTGTGAGCTTGTAAAAAATATGTAGTGCCATTTTGAAACTATTCTATTTTCTATTTGAATTTTCATATCTTTGTAAGTTTTCCTTTCGGAAAGTAAAATAATACAAAGTTTTAATTTGTAAGTATGACTATTGTATTGTGACACTGAACAATATCTTTTTGATTTGCTATTATTCTCCTTATTAAACATAAGGCGAGTTTATGCAGCATGAACATAAGCACAAACCTTGTTTTTGTCCTAACCTTAAGCTTTGNCTTAGAAAAACCGTTTTTTGCAACTTTGCGATTTTTTTTAACCATGTTCGCCATTTTGGATCGAGTTTAAAGAACAAGAAACTCAATTTAAAATTTAATTTTCTATACGGTCATATTTTTTTTGTCCAGGTAATAATTTCTGTAAGCATTTCTCTATAATGCTTGGACTAGTAGTAAAAGTAATCCAAGTCAAGGTTTTAGTGGGATAAAGAGGCCTAGAAAAATGATATTTATTATCCAATTTATCTTGGGTTTTTTCTAAAAGTTGGACAAGTAAAAACTATTCTGGCGCACAATATTAAAATTTGATTTCTATGTTCTAGGCCTACTTCGAATTTTTTTCAATGTCAAATTTTACAAAAACTTGTTTAGGATTTTTTTATTTCAAATTTAACTACGCCACTGGATTCAGCATCCCCTAAAATGGCTTTGTGCCAAATTTCCTAAATAAATACGTAATAATGGGGGATTTATAATAATTTTCTGAAAAAAAATGTTGGGCTATGAAAAATGATTTAAAAAAAAAATGAGAAATTAATTTTACGCTTTTAATACAATAATACAATAAATTTAACATCACAATACAATGACATTTTAAATTTTTGTAACTTCTACAAGGCTGCCGTTAATTTCGACGCACTTTTCAAATCCCTTACGAATATTTCTTTGAATATCATGTAGTTGTTGCGGGGTAACTTCTTCACAAGCTTGCATGATTCTTGCACACAACTCTTTTCTATTTCCTGGTTATTGCGTGACATAAACCTTGGATTTTATGACACACCATAAAAAGAAGTCCAAGGGTGTTAAGACTGAGAACCTGGGTGACTAACCATCTAATTAGGGGGCTATTTCTACTTTTCCATCGGTTAGGAAACTTAACATGAAACCATTTGGTAACCATGACATCCATCTAACTGAAAATGAAGACTTGCTTTTTCTTGTATTGGAAGTTCAACTGCAAAAACTGTACGCCATTCATATTATCCCAAAAAAAGAAGGGGCTGATGATCGTTTTATTGAGTCGTTTACAATTAATAACTGACTGGTTTTTCTGTAGCCCAATACTAGAATACACTATTAGTTGTAAAAGTTGCCTCATCGCTGAATATAATAGTTTTTAGAAGATTTCTATTCTCAAGGACTTCCATTCTTTCATCACCAGGTTCCAAGGTGCGTAAAAATTTGGGTTTGAACTATAAAAATAATTTGTTTTTCATAGCACTCATATCAGTTTTCTATCAAAGTTAAATAGATTTGTTAAATCAAATAATGTCTGTATAAATTACATGAAAAAAATATTTGTAAACGATTTCAAAAGTGATTTTGATAGTGATTTAAAGATTAAAATAAATTGTATTGTCTTGTTTTAATTTTTGTGTAATGCTTTAATTTTCCGTTGTTATTTTACCTATTTATTTAAATACGTAAAATTAATTACTCATTTTCTTAAATTATTTTTCATAGCCAATTCGAAATCGGTCTTGAACAAAGAAAACAAATTCTAATATTTTGCGCCAGAATAGAGTTTTTACTGCTCCATCTTTTAGAAAAAACCCAAAATAAATCAGATAATAAATATGTTTTCATTTGAATTAGGTCGCACTGTACTTACAATTCATGGAACAAATTCAATACGATTTTCTTTCACAGTAAGTAATAAACTAAAACCGCTGTATCTTTTCCATTGTGTCGCAAGCAATATTCGTATGAACTAAGACGATAAATCCTAGTCAAATTAGTCACTGTTTTCATATAATTGAAATGTCATCTTGACAATTCCCAAATCTGGATTTCATGCAAATTTTAATACTGGTGTTACTGGATATGAAAATATGCCAAAAAATCGATATTTCAACACTCAGAAAATATGTATAACAATTAGTATGGAGACACGATCAAAATAACTGTCAAATTTTTAATCTGAGTGTCGGTTCTGTTTTTAAATGCGCTAGTCAAACTATAGTCTAAAATTAATACCCAATAAATGTCCTCCATTTTGTTTCACTCTAATACACATAAAATATTGGAACGGTTGTCTGTGATAGATTGAGACTATGAAGACATTTATTCCATCATTGTATCTCTTTTTAGGGCGTTTAATAATGAATACATGTCCGCAACGACTGTCTTTGATATTAGGACACACACGTGACGTAATGGCAATCTTAAAACGGTTCTACTATATCTTACAATTAGGTATTGTTTAGCAGGCTGACAGTTAAAAAATATGCTAATTCTAATGTGTAGATATCATGCCACTTTATCCATTTCCGTTTTTTTCCTCCCTTTTATTTTTTTTTTACTTTTCAATCCATCACATTTATGAAAAAAGTCTAAACCAGAGTAAACCAAACTACTGTTATAGTCTTTCCGAAGTCAGTTGAACATGTATAAAAACGTCTGGCAAAAAAGTTTTCTGCTAAAGGTGAAAAATAATAATTTGTATATTATAATGAATGTGTAGAAAATTTATATTATATGTCCATTTGGCCAATGACATATTTTAATTCCTCAGTTTTCTTTATATAAATTATAAATTGTCTGCCGAATTACGTCTCTCGTCATGTCATCGATATTTTTTAATTTTTGTTTTCGCTTCCTATAACGCCTTGTTTAATAACACGAAAAAATTTGGACAGTGAAACTTTAGTTAATATGTGAATTCTATTTATATATTCTTTATCTGATTTTTCGTATTCTTCCCTTTTTTAAACAATCGTAAATATTTAAAATGAAACGCTTACAATGAACATGTAAATCTTTATTTTTAAATTCTAAATATGTTTCATCATCAACCGATACTCCTAATTCAATATTGTCTGGTGGTATTTTGTTTTGTTCCGTTTCAAAATGTCTCCAAAATGCCATTTTGCAATACTAGTAAACAAAATATCCCTCTTATTTCTCCCTTTCGTAATTGTAATATGAATGATTATTAGGATAGTCGAGGAAATAAAGCACTAAAAACGGCCTTACCTCCGAAATATGTGCAGTAAGATGGATCGTGATGCAGTTTTTTTGCATTCAATTCGTTAGAGCGTCCAGAAAGTTTGTGACCCTATGTGATCAATGAGAAATGAAAATTGCAACGGTGCATAAGAAAAATGCATATTTAAAATTGCATCTCGAAGTTAAAAAATGAAAAATTTATAACTTGTCAAATATTGACGGAAATGAGTTCAATTTTGCTACTCGGGGGCTTTTGGGGTTGCTGAACACGAATATCACGACGGTAACGGTCTCCTAGGTACCTAGTGCCCAGGGTGGCCGGTTTCCATGTTGTCTCCTGGAGTTTTATTGAAATTCTTTATAAACTTAGCCGAAACTCGTTACCTCGGGGTTTTTGAGGTCGCTGAACACGAATATTTTCAAGTGCCTTGCAAGTGTATTTTTAAATTATTTTCGAATTGCTTTTTAATTTTTTTGTTTTACAAAATTGTATTTGTAAGAGTCCCCTGCACATCCAAATTTTTTTTTTTTGGATAAAATCTGAATCACCCTTTATAGAGTATTTCATTAAAAAAAAGAAACACAAATATGGTCCATATTTTTTTAATGTGATGTTCAATTGTTTTTTAGAAACATAAAAAATTCAAAAAACATAAACAACTTACTTTAATTTTCTCTTAGACAGGTAGATACAAAAATACTACTTTAAACTGCATGAAATAATTTTAATAAATAAAAAAATAAAAAATATCTACAAGCAAAAATCAAGTTTTTTGGCTGTTAAATCTACTGGGTACTTTGAGAAAGCTGGCATAAATTTTTAGGCTAATAGAACATAAGACTATAAAACAATTTTTTTCTTCTCTTCCATTTACTTATTTTTGTTTCGAGAAAAGTCATGTTTGTCGCCCTGTTTCTAGGCCCATGGCGTAAAGGAAAAAATCGTTTTATTCTTTTTTCAGCCCCTGGATTTATGGCACCTGTTTCAAAACACCTTGTACACTTCAAATATTCTATAAGAAGTTATATACAAGGGTTATTATGCTGCATATTAACGTGGTGGCAATACACCCTATCATTCGGATTAATTATAGGTATTCTGAACAGCTTTCCGCCAGGCACACAGACGCATACTTTAAACTGCCCGGTCAGGTACCTGTTATTGCTTAGTTGAGCTATCGGTAGTCTGTTAATGTCTATATATACCCCCTCATGTCCGTTAAGTACAATAGAACCGTTACTGCTTAGGAAAATGTCCTGACCGGCGCTCCAAATTATTTCTTTTCCTTCTACTTTCGTGCCTTCGGCCCCTTTTAAGTTCAGGTCCCCCCCTTCGATTTTGAGGTCTTCGTCGCTGGGACTCCTTATTTTGTTGGTTTGGATACGTCTCGATGAGAGACCTTTCCCGTTTTTCAAAGATGTAAATACAGGATCGGTTATAGTGAACAGTGATTCGTCCTTTTCGTTTTTGACAACGAAAGAGTTGATTCCTTTGAACGCAGTCTCGTTTGTGTTGACTTGGAGTTTAGTGACGGGTCTCCCGGTTCGGGAGTATAATTTGACTTGTATGGGACTACCTTCGGAGGTAACTTGAAGGGGTTCGTCTTTGTAACCTTCTATAATACCGTCCCTTTTGTAGATATGGTCTAGGTCCACATCTCCGAAGAACTTTATTGTCTCTTCTTCAGGTATTAGCTCTATGCTTTCCATGCCTATACAAAAATGCAATTAATGGTACAAAAAATACAGTATTGTTCATCACTTTTAGGAGTTTTAGTGAGAGAGACTAGTGAGAGTATTTTAGTATTAATACGACATTCAAGAATACCTAATAAGTTCTCATGAATACTCGGCTATAAAATTATATTAGATTAAAAATTTTAATGCTTTAGGCCTAGGCATTTGCACTCTATATACCTAGATTCGTCTTGCAATTCTCATCACATGATATGAAATTATTTGTTGAAAAGTTAGAGCAATTACACGTGAATTGTGGTTATGTGTGAGCTTGTAAAAAATATGTAGTGCCATTTTGAAACTATTCTATTTTCTATTTGAATTTTCATATCTTTGTAAGTTTTCCTTTCGGAAAGTAAAATAATACAAAGTTTTAATTTGTAAGTATGACTATTGTATTGTGACACTGAACAATATCTTTTTGATTTGCTATTATTCTCCTTATTAAACATAAGGCGAGTTTATGCAGCATGAACATAAGCACAAACCTTGTTTTTGTCCTAACCTTAAGCTTTGACTTTGTTTTAATTTTTCTATCGGTTTATGCAAGTCAATTTAAGCCTAAAATAATTATTAAGCTGGTTTCGTGAGGAGATTTAATATATATTGCGTTGCACCCAATTAAACGTCTTATGGTTGGTTTATAAAAAAGTATTAGTCCTAACTTAGTCTTAGTCTTAGTATTAACCTTTACACTAATCTTAGTATTAGTCCTAAGAATAGGTACACGTTTATAAAAACAATGTGTGGTCCTAATTTTATTAAGATTAACCAATGAGCGATTCGACTACGCGCATGGCTAGTAATATCACAGCATAATACTTGTTTATTATTCTGTGGTAATGTTATTTTATTTGTTTTGTTGGTGAGTGAAAAGAAAAATATAACCTATTACTATGGTAATGGCGTATTGGCGACCACCATAGACAAAGACAGGAGGTCACTATGCTACGAAATGCAATACTTGTGCATGCGCACTTCTCAGATCTTAGTCTTAATCCTAGAAAAATTAAAAGATGCGAACTTTCAAGGTCATGTCTTAAGACCTCCTTACGACTAGGGATTTTTATAAACCGATACATTACATTCTGTACATTTAACTTATTAGGACTAAGATTAAGGTTAATACTAAGACTAAGTTAGGACTAATACTTTTTTATAAACCAACCATAA